CTTGTACATTAATTTCCAAGGATTGATAAACATAATGAACGGAGAATTTAAATTTTTAATATGAAACTAATGAAAACAACAAATCTAGACTATATATTACTCAACCTCCCTCAGCCACATAGCAAACATAAATTTAGGATTAGTGTATGAAGACCATATATATCTTCTACTCACAACATTCCTTCTTTTTAATCACTTGCCTGGGTACAAATTTCAGTTCCTCCATCCAACATATTTGTGACATCTTTGTGTGTCCATTTTAGGCTAATAAGAAAATTTACATTATAGGTAATTATAATTATATATAGTTAATATATGTAAATCATTTAGACCAGGTATATGTATAGCAAATATTATATAACTATTTACTGTGATTATTATTGCTATTCTTAATTGTCAGGGACTGTTAGACACACTGTTGTGCCGTGTGGAAGGAAAGCTTGCTTTCTTAAATCCAAGGCACAGTCATGGAAGAGTTCCGCTCATTTATGCTCTCTTGGGCTTCATCTGGAAGGGAAAATTTGTGATCTACCAAGAAGAAGGCCTTTGTTAACATTGAGAAATTTCTACAGTATAGCATTCTATTCTTTTTTGGGAAACATTTTTTTTTTTCTGATTCTGTTTGATTACTGTCATGTTCAAGATGCCTCAACTTCTCCAATCTTATTCCTAAATTCTAAAGGCCATGAAACATCTCATTTTAAAATCAAACTAAATGCATGTTCGTGTTGTGAGACCTTATAATACTCTTTGAGAAAAGTGGAGATACTATAAGTTTTGAAAAAATAAGACTATGGTTTACAGAGCTAAAGACTCATAAGCATGTTGGTAGGGGGAGCTAATTTTCTAGAAGAGATATTATATGCTACAGCATGGCAGGATTGGTTAAGCTGTAAAATATCTGAAGTTTAGTTTCCACACCTCTAACTTCTCCTTTTTGTGCTGACAACCCCCATTTGGTGACATCTATCAGGAGAATGTTAAATTTTATATAATTAAAACATCCCCAAGGATAAAAGTTTCTCCCTCATGTTTTAAATTACCCAGGGATGAAATGGTGGCTCCATAGTAATTAATAAATCAAGTTGCTCTCTCTCTGCCCTGATATCCTCTAGAGGTTGCTTCACCTCATGGTTTAAGATGGCTGCTGAAGCTCCAGCCTTTCTTCCAGGTCATGGGAAGAAAAAGGGGAAAGAAGGACAATGTTCTCTGTGTATGAGAAGACTTCCCAGAAGTCCTCTACATATCATTTGCTTTATATTGGCTCTATCTTACCTCCATAGCCTTCCTAGCTGCAATGGAGATGGGGAAATGTAGCCCTTTAATAGAACAGTCATACACCCAGAAAAAAATAGGATTCTGTCCAAAAAAGGGAAAAAGAGTCTGACTGCATATTGGGGTAGGCAATAAAACGCTTTTGTATTACAACTTCCTTATGAGTACAATTTTCTCAGTAACCTTTATGTTTCTCAAAACTTTTCCTCAGAAAGAAATCTAACACTCGTTTCATTGTATAAGAGAAGGTAAAGGATGAGAATATTAACTCTATTTAAGGAACAGGAACAATAATAGCATTAAAGCTTTAAGTATAGTCAATGCTAATAAAATGTCAAGGGAAGGAGAAAGGAATGAAAGGAGCAGAGGCAATGTTTGATAGAACTGAGTGTGCCATCACAGCACGCAGGCAACTCACACTTCACCATAGGCCAGTCAGCTTGCACTAAAATTTGTAACATTATCTTCAACTTGTAGTTGTACTGGTATGGGAAAAGTCCTGGCTGTGTGAACATACCTGCTCTCACTTTAGAAGAAATTTTACCTGTTCTCATAGTGAGGAGGAAATTCTTTAAATGAATTGGATTCCATAAGTTTAGAGCAGTCTGTATCTGAAACTTTAGCCCTACATCAGAATTTCCTGGAAATTGATAAAGCACAGTAGTTTTGGGGTTCGACCTGAGAATCTCCTTTTCTTTATTTTTTGATATATTTTTATTGGTTTCAGATAGGAAGGGAGAGAGAGAGAGAGAGAGATAGAAACATCAATGATGAGAGAGAATCATTATCAGCTGCCTCTTGCTTGCCCCCTACATGTGTCCTGACCAGAAATCAAACTGTGACCGCCTGTGATGCTGTTCAGGTGAGAATTTGCTTTTCTAACAAGTTCCCAGGTGATGGCATTGCAAGCTAAAGTTGGAAAACCACTAGTTTATGCTGTTTTCTTCTTTCTCGTGTTATCAAAGGCACCATCCACCACTACCTGTAACTCATTTCACACTTAATGAAAGAGAATTTTGCTTTCTGAAAGGGGAAATATTACGTTCTTTATAATCATTTGAATATACAGCATAAAATACCTAAGTTGTTTTGGTGACTCACATACCAACCCCTCAAAACACATGCAGAAAAGTGTTTGCATATGTTACAAAGGAAGTATTTCTTTTGATCCATCCTTTGCACCATTAAGTTTCAACAGAAATGGAAAACAAAATCAAGTTTCAGGAACAAGGCAATGCTATTGTCAATAAAGGACAGAATAAAATTCAAGACAACTTGAGCCAAAAGACACAAGAAAGAAGATGGATGGTTTCCTCAAAATGGCAAAATTCCAAATCAATTGCTGACTATGATTTTATCAGAGGGAAGATTGGTTCTCAATCTTGAACTGAAACTAGTTTGGCATGTGTTTTAAGTGAAGTTAGCATTAATGGATAAAATATTCCTTTGAAAGTTAGTGAGAATAGACAGAGCTGGAAAATGTTTAATACATACCAGGATTCTTCTGCAAATAAATATACACTGTATAGCTAAATGATTATATTACTCCTCTCAGCCTGCCCACCTTAGGCACAGTGCCTCATCTCACTAAGCCTCATCGCCTTCAATGGTGAAGTCAGTGCGCTGGACTGGATGATCTCTAAGGTCACTCTCTTTTCTAAGATTCAGTGACCTGGTCCTATGCTGAGTACACTGGGAGTTAGTTCTATTTGTAAAATGAATCAGGAATTATTCTAACCTCTAGTTTCTTCATTGCCATTTAGGCTGGATTCTGCCTACTTGCATTAAACATAGGCAATGTTTATGACAAAAAGAATCTCTATATATAAAAGCCTAAGCCACCAGCCAACCAGCTGATCAGCTGACCGGCCAGTAGCTATGATTCGCATTGACTACCAGGGGGCAGATGGTCAATGCAGGAGCAGAAACTACAGGCATGGAAACATGGTACAGACTGATGAATCTCAGAGGGAAGAGGGGAGGGAGGAGGGCAGGAAGAGATTAACCAAAGATCTTATATGCATACTAGAGGCCCTCAGCCTTGCCTGTGGAGATTGGGCCGAAACTGGCTCTCCAACATCCCCCAGGGGTCCCAGATTGTGAGAGGGTGCAGGCCAGGCCGAGGGACCCCACTAGTGTGCAAATCCATGCACTGGGCCTCTAGTGCTATTAATAACCCAACTAATCATACTTTAACAATGAAATTTATTAGAGAAACCTACCTTCTTCCTTACCTGAAACATCCAGCTCCCAACTACTAGCTCCATTGAGCAAGTCCTCATTATACCATGGACATCTGTTCTTTCCAAACAATATCACATTTGAGCGATGATTGTGATTTTAAATCATGTTATCTTAACCTCTTCATAATTTATGATAGTTAACTAAGTCAATCTGCCTGCTGCTCGCTCCCTACATGTGCCCTGGCCAGAAATTGAACTGTGACCTCCTGTGATGCTGGCCAATCTATTCCGTTCCAATCTACCCAGAAAGCTTGGAATTTCCTCAGCACATTCCCCTTCTGTTTTTTTCCTACACATCCCTAAAGACTCAGTTCAGATGTTGGCTCCAGGAGGCCATTCCTAGGCCACTCTGCTTCCCCACTCCCTGCCCACCTATATGCTGCCTAACACCTTGGTCTTGCTGTCATGATTGAACTTTTCTCATGCAGTAGTTGTGATTATCTGTTCTCTAAATGTTTCCTTCACTCAACTATTAGTTTCATGAAGTCACCTCTGTATTCCCTATGCCAAGCCTAGGTTGTGCTCAGTAAATATGCTTTGAATGAGGAATGAATAAGCTCAGAGGGTGTATGAAGAGCTGAAACGGGTTTGAGGTTGTGTCATCAATATAACCACTATTTAAACTTATGTTACAGGGGGAAACAACAGTCTTACCAGGAAGCAGAAATCTACTTGCCTCTATAGCACCTGCAGCCTAGGACAAGCTACTTTTAACTACTAACATATTATTTTTATTTATATCAAGCACAGCTATAAACAAGGAGAGATATAGGGCATACACACTACCATCATAATAATGATGTGTATAATTTATGAAAGGCTTTCACAAATATGATTTCATTTAATTTTGATGACAGATTTTTACCCTATTTGTTTAGTAAAGAAAATGATGCTCTAAGGAATTAGGTGACTCACCCAAGCTCATGAGCACAGTAAGTGACCCAGATTTTTTTGGCCCCCAAATGCAATGGTCTCTGTACTGTTCTTTCACAATGTATTTATCAAAGGAGAAACAATTTCCAGAACTGCATGCATGTTGCCTGGTGGAGAGAGAGAGGAGTTTGTTGAAGGCCAGCCTGTGTCAGTCCCTCCTAAGTGGCTTAAAGAGGATTCAGTCCTTTAGACTCAGCCTTCGGTAGCTTTTCTTCCTGTCCCAATATTTCATCTCTGAACTTCTCTGCCAATCTGGCAGCGGAAACCCAGACACACAGGATCCCAAAGCAATGGTCCTAATTGACAGATCTACATTAACGACTTTGGGCAGAGATTTCCCCTATCGTGAATCACCCTTCAATCACCCGTGAGTCAGGCTATTTAACTCTAATCTTTAATTCATACTTCATAAACAGCTCCACTAACGTCCAAAGTCTTTAATTAAAAGCCAGAGGCAATGGCAACAGCAATGCAAGGAGTCCCCTTGCAGAGTGTAAAGAGAGAGGAAAATGAAAGCAGGTGTTCCTTTTTGCTCTTGGTAGAAATTACCATTAATATAGTATCTCCTCTTCCATGTCCATCTTTGTGGTCACCTCCAGCGTTTCTCATGATGATAGAGGGAGTAATACAAAGTGCATTTACAATCTGCTCTCTTAGCTCTGGGGTTAACCCAGAGACCGAAGTTACCATATATCACAGTGATGAGGAATTCCACAGGTGTAGCATTGAAATATCCTCCCCAGCTTTTAGCAGGACCTGGATGGAGAAAGAAGAAGAGGATTTGGTTTGGGGCCTCTTTGGTGCCCATCACTGAAACCCTCATGATATCACAGAGCTATACACCAGGACTGTTCTGTCCAAAGGATACAGAAGGCTCGACTGTCTCAAGCATAGAAGAGCCTGGACTGAGATTCTCAGCAATGCTGTCAAAGAGCTCAGGATGTGGGTCTTACTTACAGCGAAGGGGCTGGAGCACCGTCAGCACAGAAGCTTTAACATAAGGCATAGTAAAATGATTAAGTGGTTTTAATTATTTAGATTAAAGTGATAAAAACAGTAAAAACAATGGAGACTTCATTTTATGCTTCCAAACTAAGGACATACTTCAAATACCAGATCCTCAGAACATTCATTTCTAAACCAACTTTTACATATACAGGGTGGGGCAAAAGTAGGTTTACTGTTGTGAGTATGCAAAACACAGTTTCGTCTTGTATTATTATTTATTAATTATCGTTATTTTCCATATCAACAACTGTAAGCCTACTTTTGCCCATCCTGTATGTAGTCTCAAGGCATGTCCTCAGAGCTGTTCGTCCACCCAGAAAGTCAAACAATTAAGTGAGGTTCACACTGCCTTTCAGACACCAGCACTATCTCTGAGCCTTGTTTGCTACTTAGATACCATGAGCCTCAGGAATAAAATGATGCATTAATATTTGGTGTTACTACCAGGTAAAAAGTTTCAAAACATCAGTCACTTCATGCATAGTAACCATTTTAATGGGACTTGCACTATGGACTACATTCCTGGCTTACTCCAGTGCTATTCCACTCGTGGTTTTAAGGCAGCTGAAAGCTCTGCCGAAATCCAGATTTTCAGTTTCTTTCCTGATGGTGCTCAGGAAGATACACAGTCTGTCCAATCACAATCTGTTTTTCATTTCTTCCTGAGCCAGGAGCTCTTTCCTTCCACATAAGCAAATCCTAGGGTTAACTGTTGTGTGCAGACAGTGCAATGTGGTTGTAGGGAAGTTCAGACCTCCTATTTTCCTCCTTTGACCTTCTGACAACTACCCTAATGTGGTATCTATGTCAAAATTATTCTATGTGTTGTCTTCTCCATACCTATCTCTCCTGAAAAAAATGCTGAAGTAATTACTTTTGTCTGCAGTGCCCTCCTCCATCCTGTTTCCTGTTCTGCAATCCTCTCAAATATTCTTGTGCTTTTATACCCAACTCCTCACTTCCCACAAGCCTGGCTCTATCTTACCGGCAAGAGCACCCTTCTACTCCCATTAGTACTTTAAGATCAAGGTCAGAATGCCTTTTTTCCCCTCCATTTCCTATATTACTAGTGGGGCCAGTTCCAATTCTGCTGTCCATAGGTGTGGGTAGGTGACTTGGTCATATTTGGACATAGGATTCTATTACTTTGGCCACAGAACTACATATGTGACTCAAACTGGCCCAATCAGACTCTTCTCTGACATTGGACATCTGGGTGCTTAGAGAAGTTTATGAAAACATAGGTTTGGGGCTGACTATAGAAGGAACCTGTCTGAGGACAAAACTGACAAAAACAGGGAGCCAGTGTCAAGAGGGAAAAGGAGAAAGGGAGGAAGAGGAATAAATGGGGAGAGAGAGGGAGGGAGAAAGGGAGTAAGAGATCGAAGGAGGAGAAAGAGGAAGAGAGAGAGAGAGAGAGGGAGAGGGTGAGAGCGACTGTAGAAGACATGTTCCAAGCTACTGTCAGCTCTACCCTTGGACTTTCCAGTTACCTAAGCCAATACATTATATTAAATTAAAAAAAAAACTGGACACAATGAAATGCTATCTACAGCTATTTGTTCTCACTGCCCACTAATCACCTGTCCTGGAATCTACCTGACTTCCTTGTTTAACTCTGCAGATGTGACCTCAGAGTTCTTAACAGAATTTCACACTTGCAGATTTACAGGTAAGGCATTATATTCTCCCTGGTGCTGAGCTGGCATGCCCCGGGCTCAGTTTTGGCTGTATAATTAAGTCACACTCCTGATCTGCCAGCTACCACACCCCATTTAAACCCACCACACTCTCTGCATTCTGTCTAATCCCTTTCTAGCTTTTCTTTGCTAGTCCCACTTGGCCTGAGGGCACACAACAATTCTACAGATGACATGAAGAGCTGAGATTGGAAAGAAAACACCTTAACTGCAGGAGTATGTCCATATTATTACTTCACCTGTACCTCTGCATTGGGAAACCCAAGGCATTTTAACTACAAAGGAATGCAGGTGAGATTTCAAGCAGTGCCAGAGGTCCCTGTGGTTTGAAGCTTTCCCAGCACTTATTAAGCAAAGCCACACTGAGTGATATTGATCATTTCCTGCTCTGTTCACATTCCCTTCCAAGAAAATCTGCTCTGTCTACAGTCCTGCCTACCTAATGGGCCATGTTTTGTGCTGTGTCACCCAGTCCTCTTGAGACCCAGTGTCAAGAAGATAAAAGTAGAAAAGAGAGAGAAACACCTACATTTTGAGTATTTGACTCACACTAAAGGAAGAACACTGTAAGACATCAGAGAAAGTCCATGAATCAACACCTTGACTCAGAAAATACAGCCTGAAGATCCTGATTTTGAATATCTACAAAAAGCTCATTTCCCAAACCACTCTGCATGAAAGAAATTAATATTCCCCAACCCAGCTCCTGGTGCTTACCTAACTAGGTGACTCTTAGCCCCTTGCAACCAATGGTAAACATCTAATAAATGATATAAAAATGTAGAGCTTTCTTTATCAAATATAAAGTTAGCTCTGATTGACCCGATAGATTAAGGCAGAGGTGGGGTGGCAGTGGAGGTGAGGGTGTGTGATTTAAATGTGTAATTGTGTTCAGCAGAAAGGTGAACCCAAGCCAAATTTAACATAACTTGACTTAGACCTAAGAGAAGAAAGAGACAGGTAACTCTAGTTTCTGGTCCCCTTTTCCAATGCATATCTTCTAGGAAACTTTTTCTTACTCTTCTAATAAATGAGATGAATCATTTATATAAATGTTGCATATCAGTTAGAATAATTGGAATGAAAGAAAAACATGGTATATTAAGTAAAAGAGGGGGTTACTGAAAAGATATTAGGCATTTTGGAACTGAAGGAAGGCTATATTTCCAGCTTTTTCAAAACTGTTTTTATAAACTTATAGATACACAAAAAATTGCAAAGATAGTGTTGAAAAGGTCCATGTAACCTTCAGCCAGTTTCCCTCAATGGTAATATTTCATATAATTATAGCATAATATATTGAAATAGAAAAAGGACATTAAGTATTGGTGTGGGTGTGTATATTTCTACTTTGTTTTATCAACTGTAGATTCATGCAACCACCACTACAATTAAGTCACCACAAAGGGATCCCTTTTAAACATTTCTAGAGTCACAATCCTTCCCTCCTCCCCAACATCCTTAACCCCAGCAACCACTTTTCTGTCCTCTAGCTCTATAATTTTGTCTTTTCAAAATTGTTATATAATTGTAATCACACAGTCTGTGACCTTCTAAGATTGGCTTATTTTCACTCAGCATAATGCCCTGGAGATCCATCAAAGTTGTTGATGTATGAATAGTTCATTTCTTCTGATTCCATGACATTGATGGAGCACAGTTTGTTTAATCATCCACCTATTGTGGGGCATGTTAACTGTGCCCAGTTCTTGGCTATTACCAATAAAGCTGCTAGGAACAATCATTGCACAGGATTTTGTATGGACCTCTTTTCAATCTTCTGGGATAAATGCCCAGGAGTGTAATTGCTAGGTCATAAGGTAAATGGATGTTTAGTTTTTTGTGTGTTTTTTTAAGAAACTGCCAAACTATTTTCCAGAGTGAGTATATCATTTTACCTTTCTACTATCAACGTATGAGAAACCCAGTTTTTCTGCATCCTTGCCAGAATTTAGCATTGCCACTATTTGTAATTTTAGCCATTCTGATAGGTATAGGGATACCTCTTTGTGGGCTTAATTTGCATTTCTGTAATGGCAAGTAATGCTGAATATCTTTTCAGTTCTTATTCGCCCACCATAAATCCTCTTGGGTGAAATGTTTCTCTATACCTTTGCCAAAGTATTGTTAGTAAAGATATAGTGAAGACCCAGGACACTTCTCACCACCAGGCGGTAATGAACCTTCCCACCTTACATGGTGTCAGTGGGGACCATGTGGGAGCCTGGATTTCCACCACCACCTGATGGTAATAAGGTGCCTCCATTTCTCTGCGCCAGGACATGAGAGGAGCCTAGTGGAGAATCAGTACCCAGTGGAAGAGGCCTTTCCCCTCAGCATGACCTCAGTGAGGAGCAATAACAAGGTGCCCCTGCACCTTTTCCTCCATTGGCCTTGGTTGGCAGGCGTGAGGGTGGGGCAGCAGATTTTCTGTGTAATTTGGCTGGAGTAGACTGGCTAGTTTCTCAAAGTTTTCTGTTTTGCCAGCTGCCCCTTTCCTGACCCTTTAACTAGAGACAACAGGCATTTGTTGGTGCTTTTACTATCTGTACCCATTGGCCTTTCTGGGTTGCTGGCTTCTCCAATTTCTAGTCAGGTATAGATGAGGCAAAAAAGCAAACCTAGTGCACTCACTTACTTGGGTCCTGAGATCCCTAATCTGCCTGATTTTAATCACCACTTTTCAGGGCCTTATTAGGTTATTTTACATATGATATAAAGGGATTTCAGTTATACTAAAGAGAGAGGATTCAGGGATTATGTTTTTTTTTCAATTTTTCTGTAATTGAAAGTCCTATAAACTAGACTTTAAAAAGGCAAGAAGCAAACATCTCAGCTGGAAGTTAAGGAACAAGAACTCCAATAATGATCTTTGTCAAGCTGGTCAAGTTGCCAGCATCAGGATGAATAATCTACTACTATTAAAATTTAAATACAGAAAAAAAAATCACATATCCAAGCTTAGGACATGTGCTCACCCCATCATAAAAGTGAGTCATTTCAGCCCTTACAGCTTTCATTGTTGAATTAGGTTTCTTTAATTCTTGTTCCACCACAACCACAGATTTTCCCAAAGGGAGAATAGGATGCTTTGGGGAAGAGTAAATGAGTGCTCGGAAGATCTCACTCACACACAATACCCAGCAAATGGGATCTGCAGATTATCTGTTTTGCTGCCCAATATTCATACATTTTCCCTTTGGATACACTTTCTAAAATATTCCATCCTATTAATATAATACAACTCATAAACATACAATAGAAACTATGTAAACTGAAGCCTTATAAATTAAATACCCATATCCAAATCAAGAAACTCTATTTAATGAGCATCTCTCCTCCACTAGCTCTGCTGTGATTTGATCTTTACATTATCTATAATAATAAAAAAGTAATATTCTAATTAGACCAGATGTCCTTCCAGACGAAGCTGGGGCTGGAGGGAAGTCTGGGTCCTGGATGCCAGAGGGAAGCTGGTGCCGGCAGCTAGGGGAAGGAAGGCCTACTCTTGCATGAATTTCGTGCATCAGGCCTCTAGTACAACATAACAGCCAATGACAGAGAACAGAAAAAGAAATAAGATAATTTAACAGACATATAAAAATTATTTGTAGGATTGTGTAGACATAACACAATAAATGCCTAAAGATAGGGGTTATAGATCCCATATCTATAAGATCCCATAAATAATATTCCTCTTTCCCTTTCTCCCATACATATGCTATATTCTCCTTGCCATCTGCCAGCAAAGAGTTCATCAGAGGATTGATTGCTTAACATGGTGACCAAAACCTTTGTCTTACTGGGGGTACTGAGACCTTGGCAGCCTTTCTATTAAGGACTTCCATAAACCTTTACTACTAGGCCTACTTGTACAAAAATGCTCCAAAGGTAATAACTTAGGTCTCATCTATATTTTTTCCTGCCCAAATGTATATGAATAATTTCATTTTTCCTTATAGTTAAAGCCATAACATCCTTTTTGACCATAACATCATCTAGTGACATGGAGAACCCAAGTTCTCAAGTAAATTAGACCTCAAGTTCTGAGAACTCCTGGAAACAATAATGTTGTAGATGGCAAGTAGATATGTAACCTTGAAAAGCACCAAGTCTGTTTCCACCTTTTAGTTCTAAGGACCACATATTATAGTTGCGGGTGAAACACCAGCATATTTTGGGCCACTGCCTTATAGCATTAATTACACTCTTTAGGACAGCTGCACAACATGGAAAGGTTTTGTCTCTTAGCTATGGTTAAACCATTTCTTCAGGATGAAAAGATACAGAAGATTATTCAGTGAATACCATTAGGATGGAGTCATTGCCTTACTGCTTTGACATTGAGGCAATAGCCTAGATGTTATAAAGTATAAGATATCACGATGGTGTATAAGAACTTCTAAAAACTCATGGATTAGAATGCTGACAAAGCATGACAGACATGGAAAACAAATCCAAATCTAGAAAAAAATTTTTTTTTTGTTCCAGTAGAAGCTAATTTGTGTCTCCTTCATAATGGAAGGGGTCTAATGTGGACAATCTATTATCATTGTGCTGAATTCTCTTATCAGTAAATGCTGCTAAACTGTGCTCAGCAATGGGGGCCTACTAGATATTCAGCAAAACTCAGTTGCATATCAGTCTTGGTGACAGGATGTCCTTGTGGCTGAGTTGGTGCAAAGTTGCCATGCCTACCGACATGGCTACTTTGATTGGAGTGTATTGAGCAAACTCTGGGGTAACCAGTAAAGGAACTTTATACAAAGCAAGTCTGTCAATCTGATTATTAAGATTCCCTTTTGTAGTGCTAAACTGTTGGTGATGATTTACATGAAATAGAGTGTTGATTTTTATTTATAATATCAAACCATCTGGCTAATAAAACTATATTTCTTACTGCCATGGTATCTACTAAGTGTAGCCATGTAACTAAATTCTGCCAATGAGATGTAAATGAAAATATTGTATAGAATTTCCAAGAAGATAACTTAAAAGAAGCTGACCCAGCATGGAGGCACTCCTCTTTTGGTTTTCTCCTCTCCCTCCTCCTTCCCAATGCTTAGAACACGATTGGCTGGAGTTCCAGCAGATGTCTTACAGTATAAAGTAAGCATGATGACCACAGAGCAGTTATGTTAGTCCTCGATATCCACCTACAACTTCTATTACGTTAGAACAGAAATCAAAACAAATGAACAACCTTTCACATTGTTCAGTTATTATTTTGTAGAGTTTCTGTTGTGTTATCTGAAACAAATCCTAAATAATATAGGATTCATTCTTCAAGATTCATCCACACACTATTCTCCTCAAAACTTCCTTGTCATCAATTTCCTAATCAAGCACCTTCCAAATTCCTCACCATCTGACCAGACAATTGGCTACTACTCATGGTTAAGTAACAATCTTATCTCATTCCAGCTTTCCTAAACAAAATTGTTGAAATATGCTCTTTAGAATTTGGCTAGTGGAATGATTTTCTTTCTCCATTGTGCTTCAGGATTAAGCCTGAGTGAGGTTATAATGATGTGGGAATCACAAGAATAATCTCATAGCAGGAAAATTGGATGGAAAAGAAATGAGATTAATATATTCCAATCATGTGTTCACTACCTGCATTATATCATCAAGTTTCAAGTACCTGAAGAAAAAAAAAAGGATTCCAATTGATCGAAGTTTAGATCATCTGTCCACATCTTGTCCACATGAGTTGATAGAAGGTAAAAGCGGTTCCCTTCAACTTCTTTAGTAATAGGTAGAAACAGGGATTCACTGTGCAGCACCCCATATAATTGAGAAGTAATCTCCCTTTTCCCCTAAAAAAATGCAAAATCAAGATGTCACTAAGAAGGAGGAATGGATGCTATCCAGACAAAAATGATAAATATCTGTTAAGGATATTTTGGCAATTTCTACCTTATTAGACTCAGTTAAGTGTTATGGGGTTGCTAATAAGCCTTCAGTGTAAGACAGAGCTTGTTTAAGTCCAAGCTCTTCTACCTAGTTGTTGGTCATCTATAGAAAATTGCATGACCTATAGAAGCTCAAATTGTCTCATCTGTACACGAGGTTACAGTATAGAGTTTCTTAGGTACATAACCTAAATATTAGATGAGACAACTTATATAATACACATAGAATAACATCTGATGATAACTTATTATTCTAAGTCTTATTTTTTCCCCTTTATGATATCAAAATGAAGGTTTTTTACTTGATTCAAAATCTAAGGGCCATAAAAGAAAATATTTATCAATGGATAATCTGAATTTTAGCCTTCTTAAAATATTGGTGTATATATATAGTGATTAAGAGCAAAGGATTTTGAATCAGACAGACCTCAACCAGTAATATGATACTGATCAAGTTACTTACCTCTCTAAATTTCTACTTCCTCATATGTAAACTGAAAACAATGATAAATACTTTAAAAGCTTAATCCAAACAATTATGCATGTAAAGCAAGCATGTCAAACTCGCGGCCCACAATGAATATTTTTGCGGCCCACCCAATATAATGGTACGTAAGAAATGTTTTAGTAAAAATTTCGTAACTTAATTTTTACAATATCCTGTTATATATAATCATTAATAATGAACTACAAGGTTCGCTAATGACTGATGACTATAATCGTGTTGCATTTATTTCCCTTACGCGCCTTGCGCGCAGGCGTACCATTTCTCTCCACTAATACTAGCAGTGAATATTTCAGCAGCTGATTGCCATGTCACTAGTCTTGGACTGACTTGTTTGGTATGTGCAACAGAAAATATTTCACTTTCAGAGAACAAGCATTATGCTTATTAATTTGTGCAGTTATTCAATGTCTGGTAAGTTAATGTTCAAGAAAAAAATATCAATTTTTATTAAAAAGTTCTATTATTTTATGTTAATGATTACTCATTTATTTCAGCTCTTTGTATTCAGCATGTCCCTATTAAAATAAACCTACGTTTCTATGAAAATTGAAGCTTCTTTTTTCAGCCCACATAAACTTAAACCTTGTTTATTTGGCCCATTTAGCCTTTGAGTTTGACATGCTTGATGTAAAGCATTTAGTATAGAGTGTAACACACAGTAAAATGCTTTAAAATGGGAACTGCTATCACTATAATTATTATCATTATTATTAAATATAAGACATGCTGACTCAAGGTATACTATGTATACAATTTTCTGGAAACATTCAATGCTATATGAGAATAGAAAAACAAATTACCTCCATTCTACAATATCATTATAAAGAGGGGAAAAAGAGGGTGTATTTAATATAACACTCTGAAACAGCTTTAGACAGATAATGATAACAATCAATGATTGTACTATTACTCTATTATGGCTTCATAAAATGGATTACATGCCCATAGTGTACATAGATAACATTGCTTGTACTTCCCCTTAGGGACTAACTGCCTATACTTAAGACCACAGACAAACTCTTATTCAATTAAGAAACTTGTCTGAAATCTATTTCTAGCCCTGGTCTTTCCCCACTCTTTAACCCTGCTGAGATGCCTCAAAAGACTAACACAAAACAGGGTGTGGGAAAGTAGCACAACTGAAAGAGAAAGCTCAACTAACAGATGCATAACCACTTTCAGCAGGGCAAGTTATCACAAGAGTCACTTATATGAGACTGCAATAACTCAGTGGGTACAACATCCAAACTACCAGCAGCAAGGTGAGTCACAAGCCTCCATAGTGACTTATTCTCTGCAAAGCACGTTTAAGCACATTACTAATTCATTAATTCACATTTATTGAATACCCACTATGCACAGAGCTAATGACTCAGGAAACAGAATCATCACGTTAGCCAAAAATCTTTCAAGCTAGAAGAATTATGCATATACTCATTAATTCACTGATGCACTCATCCAAGTATTCAACATCTATTTAATGAACATGTATTAAATGCCAGACACTCGACTTAGGAATGGAATATGAAGATAAATAAGAAAAAAGTTCCTGAGGTGCCCAAGGTTTGATCAAGTGTTATCTCCTGCCTATGAAACACATTTGCCTCCTTGCACCTGTGATTTATTTCTGCCAGGGTAATGTGTTGTGGAGCAGTCATCAGGTTAAATATTTAGGGGTGAAGAAAACAGTATGTTGATGTCCAGGTCCTGCTAAGCAGGTAGCCACCATTATCCCCAGAAATATGAGGTGAAAGGACGCAAGTCAGAAGTGCATATTTTATGGTGGAGGTGGCATGACACGAACCAACTGCATTGACCTTTAGAATTTAAAGAAATGTTCCTTGAACAAACAATCACTTCAGCAACTCTGGGGAAACTGGTTTCAGAAACCTGTTGTGTAATAGTTGACCAAGGGCATTCGGTGTGCTTCTTGTTTGCATTTTGCTGCATGAGTATGTTTTAGTCTGTGTGCTCCCCACCCTTCTTCATGGACTGTCTAAAACTTAATGTGTATGTCTGGAAGTTAATGCTCTATTGTGCTTCTGGTTCTGTCTGCTTCAGCTAATGGAGTGTAGATAGCCATGGTTATTTGCAACTTCTGTCGTCCCCTTAGGGATTCCAGTTAGTAATTCCAGCCAGTTCTGATAAACAAAGGACAGAGAGAACTGGCACAGAGGTTGGAAATTGCTTGCTCTGTGCCAGTTACTAGTCTGTCACGGGTCAATGTCCTGAGGGTGCCTGTGCAGCTATAGGAACACAACATTGGGAAGAAGAATTATCACCGAGGTTGGCATTTGGCGAACAGGTACACCCTTGAATAGAATGAGTGGCCTCTCAGAGAGGAATGGAGCACTGAAACATTATCTGATGAAGAGGCAGGTGAGGAACATGGCAGGAGAGTGTCTCCCAAAGACACTTAGCAGTGGAGACAAAGCTATGTTATTTTCCAGAGCCTTCTTATTATAGATTTATCAATATCTTGGATTGGTTTTCTCCAAAAGAAATCCCTGAGACAAAGACTTGGATGCCAGTAATTTATTTTGAAGTAATCTCTAATATCGCAAATGAGAGAGTGATGACAGTGATTCAGAGAGGAAGAAAATCCACTAAAGCATGTTATTGAGTGGGCTAAGCTCTGCAGGCAACTGGGTCTCAAATGTAACGAAGACACTGCAAGGCACCATGACAAGGGAGCACAACTCAGAACTGTCCAACCAGGAAGTGTGGAGGCTTCATGGTTTTCCCAGTGACTCCCATTCCATGAGTTGTGGTTTGCTCCAAAGGACATTAACCACCTACACATACTTCTGGGTTGCACTGGTATGCAGAGGGCAAGCTCAGTGGTACGGAAGAAAACCCTCACGCAGAGAGAGAAATACAGGTGCTTAATGTGGAAACATTCTGGAAACTATCTACCACCACCGTAAGTGAACTCAGATGTGGACTGTGGGGATATTGGGGAGCATCGATAGTGTCTGCTACAGTCAGCAGACACACAAAATTTAAATTTGGAGAGAAAGAAAGAAAGAGCTACCTAGAGAGGAAAACTCATTTTTATATGAAAAAATAGGAAGTCAAGACATGAGGTATGGTGATATAAACAAAAGCTCTAACAAGAGTCACTCCACCGCCTTCTATCTGCATAACCCTACATTATTGCCTTAATTTTTTCTAGACCTCAAATTCTACATCTGTGAAATGAAACTTATAAGATCTATTTAATCTTGCTGGAAGAATTTTTAAGAGGATCAAATGAGAAAGCGTTTTTGTAGATATAAAACTAAACATTATTATACACTAAATTTATTTATTTAACCAATATTATTGAACTCCTTCCCACTCTATATTAGGCACTATGCTAAGCATTAAAGATATGACAGTATACAAGACCAATGAAGTTCTTGTTCTTACTGAGCTTATTGTCTTTTGGGGGACCTAGACCCCCCAAAATTTATAATGTGTATAATACTATGAGAACAATTTAGTAGGACTGGAGCTTAAGAAGTGAGGAGTGGAAAAGGCAGGAGAGAGGAAGGGCCTTAGAGATCCCCAAGTTTAGATCACAAAAGGCCTTGGAGTTACATTGAAACGTTCTGACTTTTATCTGGAAAGCAATAGGGAATCAATGGAATTCTTCTTAAAAAGAAGAGATGAGGTCATATGGTTCTTCTACCATCATCACCATCCATCCACAGAACTCTTTTCATCTTACAAAACTATAACTCAGTACCCATTAAACCATAGCACTCCATTCCTCCTTCCCCTTAGCCCCAGGCAACCTTCTGTCTCTATGGATTTAACTACTCTAAGTATCTAATGTAAGTGGAATCATATGGTATTTGTTCTTTTGTGGCTGACAAATTTCACTTAGTGTCATGTCAAGATCCATGTGAGTTATATGAATCAAAACATGTGTCAAAATTTTCTTTCCTTTTAAGACTGAATAATATTCCATTGTATGTATGTACCACACCTTGTGTATCCATTCATGACAATTTGAGTTGCCTTTTCCTTTTGGTGAGAAGAATGCTGCTCTGAACATGGATGTACAAACATATCTTCAAGTCCTTGCTTTCAATTCTGACACCTTTTATCTATTACCACATGTTGTTTTTGGACCAGTTTCACATTTGCACATCTTTTCTTCTTTATTAGTGAATATATGGAATGTTGCAGGCCATTCTTCTGTTCGGAGACATTTATCAAAGTCCCTGTCTACTGTGTTCCTCACAAGAAATGTAGAATAATGGAGAGTATAGACTCTAAAACTAAACCTTGGTTTCAATTCTAAAACTTCCAACTTACTAGCTGAATAAAGCTGAGCAAATTCCTTTACTTCTTTAAGGTTCAGCTCACTCTTCTCTAAAATGAGGAGAATATAATTAAT